AGCATTTTATTTCTTTGCCTATCAAATCATCACCAGATATACCTTCTAACCTATAATCTTCTTCAAGCTTATTATACAAGTGCTTGCTAATAGTATTGGATTTAGATGTTGTATTGATTAATGCTTTTACTGAGATTTTTCCCTCTACGATTGTTTTTATAAAAACCATGTCAAATATTGCTGGAAGCAACTACATAGTAGCTATTTAATGATATATATTATAACTGAAAAAATAACTAAATTTAGATAATTAATTTTAGACAAATATATTATAAGTTAATAATTTCTGATATATAAATTTTTTATATATTATTTATTTCCTCTTCGCCAATTACTAAAGATAGTGAAACCCGAGATTCAGCAAGATATTATAAACATGATAGCAAACCTTGATATTTCTTGGCATTTCATTGAATAGCGGAATCAAGAGTTCTTTCTCTTTCCAATGTATATAGCCTTCATGTAGCAATTTATTATACGTTGACCCATTTATAATAATTATGCGATTAGTTTTGGGATTATAAATTTCTTTTTAAGATTTATCTATCGGTTGGTCCAATATGTCAATAACATTTGTATAAAAAGATGTTTTATCTCATCATAATATCAATTAATTTAAATATACATTTTATTATAAAATTAAAAGTGAAGGGGTTTTATATTCTAAAATACTTACATGGCTCCCTTTACTTGCCCATATATCAAGAGGGATGGTACTGTTTGTGGAAATAAATGCTGGCTCCCTGAAGGGTGTTATAGGTACTGGAAATTGTATAAAAAGAATTTGAAAAAGAAACCCTGTCTTTTTAGTAGTTGTGAATTTCCCACTGATGCTGATTCGGGGTATTGCCACGACCACTCTGCCAGTATTCATTCGCATAATTATTTAATGAGGCAAAAACATAAGGCTGAGGCCCTTCAAACCAAAATCCCTGAAGCTTCAATTTCTGAGTCAGATGATAGTAGTGCTTTAATTCATAAACACTTGTTTCCCACTTCTTTACAACTATTTGCAGATTCATTAAGAAGAGATTTAACGGATTTGATCCGGGTCGAAATACTAGATGATAGGATTGTAATTAATGGCTCAGCTACAGAGTCACCCAGAATCTATGAAGATACAGTTTCCGAGTTAGATAATGAGAACGATGTGGGTCTTAACCTCTTTGAAGATTAGTGGTTAGCTTGGCCCTTAAGGCACTTCGTTAAATTTGGAGCATTAGAAATCTTTTCTGAATTATCTGCCGGAAAGTAAGCAAAAAAAATATTATTTCATTTATATCATTAAGTTGAATAGCGCTATTTTTTAATATATAAATAAAGCACATCAGGCAGGCATATTTCTTGGAATAGGGGCTTCTTCGGAAATATTATATAAAATAATGGAAGAAGCCCCCATCTCAAAGTATATATGATTCGATTCTGTGAAACTTGGCATTATATTCACACTGCTTTTATAACAGATCTGCCTATATGATATCAAATAAGTTTTGAATATCTTTCGCAATTAGTATAATATTCATATTAGAACTAGAA